GGCTGTGGTGATGGTGGCTGTGGTGGTGGTGGCTGTGGTGGCCGTGGTGGTGGCTGTAGTGATGGTGGTAGTGGCTGTGGTGATGGTGGCTGTGGTGATGGGTCTGCTCCTGCCTTGGGCACTATTCAGGATTTGGGGGCATCCTCCAGCTGCTCGGAGCCTCAGTGGGCTCTCCTATGAAGACTGGGGCTCCTGTAGAACCTGGTTTCCATCTGTGTCTCTGGGGGGGTGCCTGGGGGCCTCTGTGGGAGGAGGTGGGGCACGTGGACTGGCCAAGCCCCATGCCACCACCAACCTGGGCCTCTCAACTGTGTCTGTTCTCCATGAGGAGGTCCCCTCAGATGGCAATGGAGAAAGGGGTCCACTAACCACAGAGTGAGCAGAGGCTGAGCCCCTCCACCTCCTACTTCTGTCACTTTCTGGGATCCCCAGAACCACCGCTTGGTAAAGGTGTGCGTGTGCTCAGATGGGGCGATACTCTCACGCCCCTGACTGCTCCTCTCCCCCAGACATGGTCCACAGGTCATCAGCCCTCAGAGGACAGCAGCCCGCCCGATCCCAGCTCACGTACCTGCAGTGGACCACGATGGGCCCAGCGTGTGTGGGGTTGAGCGTCCTCACTTTCTTCAGGAACTTCAGCATTCCGATGGGTGTGAAAGGCACCCCGAAGTCGGGCCAGCTGGTGAAGTGCAGCTGGGAGACAAGCCTGGGGGCTTTGCAGCCGTCAGGGAGCTACAGGGGTGGGGAGGCATGAGTGGGCGCCGGCCTCAGGCCCTCCCCGACCCTGCCCCAGCATCCACTCTGATGATTCTCGGATGGCTCCCTGTCCCCAAGGCTGGGGCAGCCACGGTGCATGTGGGGTGGGAGTGGGGGTCCCTGAGACAGAAGCACCTGCTGCAGACAGTGCTGTGGCTGTTCACAGGGGCAGCAGAGCAGGGCCAGTGGGTGCCTGTCACAGCCCAGGCCAGAAACCACCCCCACAGCTGGTCTACAGCTCACGGGCCCACTGTGGGCAGGTGGCCGTGCCCATCGGCCTGGGATGGGCCCCTTTGTCCTGTGCCATTGCTGACAGCAGCTCCTTTCACTCTCAAATGTGTCTTAATTTGGAAGAGATGATGTGGTCGGCCTACTCACACCCCAGGCTGCCTCGGAGCTTCGTTCAGCTTTTGCTACCCAGAGTCTAGGAGTTTAGTTCTCTTCTGCCCCAGCCCCAGGGACTATGAACAAAGTATTTGGAAGTCCGTGTGCATTGTATGTGTGCATACGCACGTGTGTGTTCATGTGTGTGTATGTGGGTCTGGGAGGGAGGTGATAACAAAAATGATAAAGTTCATCCTTTTCCCCTTTTTGCTTTGGCTTCTAGGAACCTCAGAGACATATTTTATGATCTAACTATGCTAATCACTCTATCTTTGATTCCTGATAAAACAACCTTCTGCTTTCCTATAGTCTTTTATAGCTCTTAAATTTTGATTTCATCTGCCTTGTATACAGGCTTATTTACTGAAGGTAGTCTTAAATCCTTTTTTGGGGGGAGCTAACAGGAAATAAGTATGAAAAATAATGTAGGCATTTCAGATATAAGTTTGAAACTGTTAAAAGTTCCTGGATTCCAGCCTCACAATTCCAGCATGCTACAGAGAGAGGACCCTCAACCCCCATGTTCCCTGACTGGCTTAACTTCCTCCTGGGGAAGCCCAGAACAGCCACTGGGGCCAGGAGCTTCTAGGAGTTTGTATTTCACTCTGCAGACTCATGGACATGTGCCTCAGGCCCACCTGTGCCCACTCATGTCCACCCACCCATCCCTGCTTGGCCACATCCTCTGCCCTCCGGCCACAGCATCCCCCACCGCACCCCCGCCTCAGCAAGAACCCCTGCAACACTGGGGTACAAAGCTCTTTGTAGTATAAGACATGGACCTGCATTAACCATCGACATTGCAAGCAACCACAATAACCTCTCCCGAGTGGGTGACTTGAGATGCTTACGGACTGGATGCAGAACTTCCTGACGGTGTAGTCCACCAAGACTATGCAGTCCTCCATACACACGCGGATGTTCCCATATGTCCAGCAGCCCTGGTCCGGCCAGTACTGATGGCACTTTTCCTACAGGGGAAGATTTAATAGAAATAACCAGGGCTGTGGGTGCCATTCCATTACCTCTTCCTACCATACACACGGAACCCTGGTGGCACAGCGGTTAAGAGCTTGGCTGCTAAGCAAAAGGTTGATGGTTTGAATCCACCAGCTGCTCCATGGAAACCCTATGGAGCAGTTCCACTCTGTCCTGTAGGGTCACTATGAGTCGGAATCGACTTGAGGGCAATGGTTTACCATCCACACAGACAAACCCACCAACCACATAGACAAACTCTTCATCCACATAGACGAGCCCACCATCCACATAGACAAACCCACCATCCTCACAGACAAGCCCACCATCCACATGGACAAGCCCACCACCCACATGGACAAGCCCACCATCCGCAAGGACAAACTCCCACCATCCTCACAGACAAACGTCGCCATCCACAAGGACAAACTCCCACCATCCTCACAGACAAACAGCTTCACTGACACACACTGGCTTGGGGTCAAGCAGTTCTCAGAGTTGAGAAACAGCCCGGCAAGTGTGTGACCCATCTTATTAATGGCGGAAATGAAGCTACTCCACAGGCTACAGGCAGACCTGAGAGTGTGGCCAGGACTGAGACTTTCTGATTTTGACACCAATGACCTCTCACTTGCTCATTCACTCACTAATTCCACAAATACTTACTGACCCGTCATGCACGGTCTTGTTGCCCCTGCCCCTTCAGAGCCAGGGGACTCTGACCAACAGTGGCCCTGGGGCTGGGCTGTGTTTACAACTCGCTCCCAAGGAGGCCGTGCTTCCCAAACATTCCCCACCGGAGTTGGCACTTTGTCTGCTTCTTCCTGCTCAGCTCAACACGTGCAACCCGGATCTGCCTGATGCCGCCCCATTCATCAAGTGTAATGAACCCACAATCACCTTAAGGACTCTCGTTTTTCTCTAACAAGGCCCAGGCTGAGCTGGGAGTGTGTAGAGGACAGGCACACTCTCTACACGGGCCTGTCCTGTCCCTTCCCTCTCTCCAAAATACAAATGGCCTCTAATACAGGCGCCCTGAGGGTGGGGCCTTCCATGCCCCGTGGCATCTCCAGCATCTAATCTATAGGATCATTTTTACTTTTTTACAGATGCCATTGAGTCAACTCCAACTCACGGTGACCCTGTACGTGTCAGAGTAGAACTCTGCTCCATAGGGTTTTCAATGGCGGATTTTCCAGACGGAGATTGCCAGTCCTTTCTTCTGAGGCACCTCTGGGTGGATTCAAACCTCCATGCTTTCGGTGAGCAGCTGAGTGCACTCACTGTTTGCATCACCTGGGGCTCCTGACCCATAGTAAGTCCTTTACAAACATGGACTTCATAAAGGAACGGGACCCACTTAAAAGATCCGCTTAAGAAGCACTAGAGAAATCTCTGGTATTTAATAAGCCTTCCAAACATGTGGCTGTTAATCCTAGAAACTGCCGACGTGTGGTCAAGTGTCAAGTATTAATAATCTTAAGAACAAGAAGCATCATGGCTTCACCAGAGGCCAGCATCCCTGGGACAAACCTCCCGTCCCTGCATCTGGCTGAGTTGGTCCACTCCTCACAGGGGCCTCTGAAGTGGACAGGGGAGCAGCGAAGGCCTAGCAGGGCCTGGTTTGGGTGAGTCCTGATCCTCCTCAGGGCCTTGGCGACCCTATTCTACCTGAAAGACTCTAGCATTGGGGACCCGAGGACTGTGAGGCTGAGGTGTTTCTAAGGCAGAACACACATCTCCCACCAAGCTGACGCTTCCCCTCATCCTGTGTTGACACCCTCGTTCTCGAACATGCTAGAACATGATAGAACAGTCTCCTAACTGACCCCCACCTCCACCTCCATGTTTGATTTTGTAGAGTGAGTTCAGCTGTTAAATCACAGCTCCTTGCTGGAAGCCCTCCAAGAGCGCCTGCCTCCAGCTCTCAGCTCCCAGGGCTCAGGGTTTGGGGGCATTCTCTCAGCCGCTGCGCCTCATCTAAGCAGTGGGCACCTTCCCCTCCCTCCACCTCAGATCATGAGACGCGGGTGCTGTGTTTGCCAATGTTTAGCCCAAGATGTCGAAGCCAAGGAGACAGCCCACAAAAGAAGTGTAAGCAACTCAGAGAACGGGAACTCGATTGAGAAATGGTTTCATCTGAACTGGTGGAAATCAAGATGCAGAAGCCAGCCCGCCCTGAGTCACAGGAGTGGAAAGATCCCGTGGGAGGTTACGAGATGGATTCGAGAGAAAACAGGAGGTAACATAGCAACAGGATGACAGAGGTCACGACGGGGCTCCCTGAATCCCACTGGGTCTGCACTGGACTCACTGTAGTTGGTATTTGGCACTGGTCACGGGGGACCCTGTGGTCCCTCTGCTATAGCAGGGTTCCCCCAGCATCTGCTCAGGGCGCGGGGTGTCCTCCGGCAGGCTCTCCAATGAAGGGAGGTATGACAGTTAATTCTAGTGCCCACGTGGCTGGGCCGCAGTGCCCCCTAGTTCGGTCAAACCCTAGTCTAGATGCTGTTGTGAAGCACTGACGTGGGATTCGATGAGTCGGCTTTATGGAAGGCAGACGACCATCTGATAATGTGGGTGGGCCTCATGCAGTCAGTGCAAGGCCTTAGGAGCAAGAAGGAGTTTTTTCCAAGGGAGGATTCTGCTTCCAGACCATAAACGGCATTCTGCGATAATCCCCCTTGTTCCCCCATCGCCTGACCTACGGCTCGTGGGTTGCCAGCCACTGCGATGGTGTGAATCAGTTTCTCAGAAATAACTCTCCCTCTCTAACGTGTGTGTGCGCGTGCGTGTGTGCCTGTGTGCATGTGTGTGCGTGTGTGGGTGTGTAGATGTCGTTGTTGTTGTTAGTTGCTATACAGTCTGTTCTGACTCCTGGCGACCCCATGTGTGCAGAGTTGAACTGTTCCATAGGACTTTCAATGGCTGTGGCCGTTAGTAAGCAGATCACCAGGCCTGTCCGCTGAGGCACCTCTGGGGGGATTTGAACCACCAGCTTTTGTCTAGTAATCGAGTGCTTAACCATTTGCACCACCCAGAGACTCCTCTATCTGTATGTACACACACACATACATATGTCTATACATAGCGACCCTATGAGTCAGAATATATACATACATATACACATATATACACGTGTATGGTATGGTATATGTATAACATATGAATACATGTGTATGGTATATGTACATATGTATATATGTGTGTATGGAACCCTGGTGGTGCAGTGGTTAAGAGCTCAGCTGCTAACCAAAAGGTCGGCAGTTTGAATCCATCAGCCACTCCTTGGAAACTCTATGGGGCAGTTCTACTCTGGCCTATAGGGTCTCTAGGAGTCGGAATGGACTCGAAGGCAGTGGGTTTGGTTTTCTGCTCACATACATACTGGCTCTGTTTCTCTAGCGAACCCTGACGAAGCCAGAAGGGTTAGGTCTCTGTGCCCGGGAATCCCCCCCGTCCTGCCTGCACCCCCCTTGCAGTGACAGAGGATGACAAATCCTTGCATGGTGACAGGGGAGGCCCTCCCCAGCCCTGTCTCAACTCCCTTGAAAACAAAACAAAAGCCCCCACCCTGCCCCCCACCGGAAATGGCAGTTAGAGGCCTTTTCCTGTGCTTTTTGGTGTGGAACTAATTAGCGATGGTAGCCCTGTAGGGGTGAGAGCTGCTCCCGGCCCAGCCCCCCTGGGGGGCCCTGCCCCCCACCTCACCACAGCAGCAGCAGAGCCTGGAAACCTGAAAGCCACCTGCAGGGCCTCTTCACCCGCCCCCAGCTGAGGTCACCGCCCAAGGCCTGTCACTTCTATCTCAAATGGAAGCCCTCCCCAGAGTCCTGGCCACCGTGCCTGGCCACTGTTGGGGACGGGCCAGCGTCACCCATGTCGGTGAACCACCAACGACAGAGGTGGTGGGCAGCCATCTCTGGGGCCCAGGCCTGGCTGTGAGCTGTGCCCCCAACATGCTAGGCCCTGGGCCGGGGCCACGGAACAGACATCTACCGCCAAAGTGGCCCTCCCCCTCATCCCGAGTGCCACACGGTTGTTCAAGCCCTCCTGCCAGAACACGCCAGAACAGCCTCCTAACGCCACCCCACCTCCAGCTTCCAGCTTCTCCTTCACTTTGGGGAGTGAGTGCACATCCTGGAGCACAGGCCCTGCTCACACCCGCCCCGACACCCCAGCCCTGGGCACTCTGGCCCCAGCACCTGCTTTCTGCGTCTTTCATCTCCCCTTCCTTCTGCCCAGGCCGGGGTCCAGTCTGGCCCCCGAGATTCCTCACCATCTCGCAAACACACCACTCTGCTCGGCCTTCCATCCCTGGATTTGGTAGAATTCCCTTCATCTTCTAGGAGAGCCTCCCCACCCCCTCCAGGCCCACCCTGGCCCACCCCGGCCCACTGCCCAAGGAGGGGCAGCTCCAGAGCTAGGCTCCCACCACCCTGCTCCTTTGTACCTAGGAACCGCCCTGAGGCTGTGTTCTCGTCTCTTCTGTAGGGTATCGTGTCCCCTGAGCTAAAACATGAAGGGTCGAGGCACGGAAATGCCTCTGTCTTTGTACCCCAACCCAGCCAGGCCCGTCCTGGCCTTCACGGAGCTGCTCCTGTGCCTGGAATGCTCATACCCCCCCCCCCCGGCCCCCACTGCCCCGGCTCCTCTCCGTTACGTTTCATGTCACCTGCTGGTGTGTTCTACGGAGTCCTGGTGGCGCAGTGGCTAAGAGCTCGGTTGCTAACCAAAACATCGACAGTTTGACTCTACCAGCCACTCGTTGGAAACCCTATGGGGCAGTTCTCCTCTGTCCTCTAGGGTCGCTGTGAGTCGGAATTGACTCGACAGCGACAGGATGGTTGGTTTGTTTTGGTGTGTGCTACACTGATCCGCCTTTTGCTTTGCGTCTGCCCTTCCCAGGGGGACGTACAGCCCGCGAGAGGGCAGGGTCTGTGTGCTCCCTCACCGCGTACACCCCAGCTGGGACCCTGTGGCTGGAACAGTGCTGTCCATCACGGCGGACTCTCGGGCATTTGTTACATCGGGAGGGAGTCCCTTCAACTGTTCTCTTCAGAGGCTTCCATCCTTACGATGCACATGCACCGCTTTTTGAGTTGGAAACTGGTCATTAAATGTATTTAGAGGAAAATGAACACTCCCCCAAGAAACCTTGCTTGTCAAATGCATTTCTCTAATCCAGAGAAGAAGTAGTAAACAATTTCTATGTAGTCTGAGGCCCACCGCATTGCTATGCCGCCACGCCCTCTAACCCCATTGATCCAATCCCAGAGTTGGAGCTGGCAGGCGAGCCAGGGCCACCCTCAGCTGAAAACAAGAAACTCCTGTATTTTTATATCATAGACTACAAGAGTGAGATATGTGGAACCCAGAGAATTTTTTTCAAGATAAAGATGTTGTAAACCACTGGGTGGAGCCCTGGTGGCACAGTGGTTAAGAGCTCGACTGCTAACCAAAAGGTCGGCAGTTCGAATCCACCAGCTGCTCCTTGGAAACCCTATGGGGCAGTACTACTCTGTCCTCTAGGATGGCTGTGAGTCGAAATCGACTTTCTGGTAATGGGTTTGATTTTGGGCAAGCCATTGGGTGTTGTGTTTATTTTCCTACAGTGCTCAGAAGGGAGGGAAATAGAAAAAGGAAGTGGTCAGAACACCCACTCCGTTGCTGCAGCAGCAGCTAAGAGGAAACGGCTTCATGAGTCAGATGGGGGCAGGCTCACCTCTTTCCTTTCTTTCAGGTTAGTCAGCATGACAATGGTTGCAGATTTTTGTTCCCAGATCATTCTCCAAAAGTCATTCACCGTTTCCTGTTTAGGGCCTGCACAGAGAGGATAGTCCTAAAGTCAGAATACGTGAAGAGACGTCCGGGGCCCAGCCCCTGCCAGCTGGCCCCTGGCCCCTGGGATGACTGTTCCGCTCCGTCTCCCAGGCGCAAAGAGAATGATGGGCTGGTAACATTTCCTGCCCTGCTCAATTCCAGCCAGTGTAGAGGCTGGAGAGACCAGCAGATCCAACCCTCCTGTCGTCCTGCACTCATCTTGGAGCTGAAGAATCGAACCCAGTTTGGAGTATTATAGTCAGAGGTAATAAAGGGTTATTCTGACGGGAAATTCTAAAGCTACGTGTCAACCTGTCTGGGGCCACTGTGGGTGCTTGTTGAACATCAGGAGATCAAGCTCCACTCAGCCAGTCCTGAACCAGAATGGGTGGGTGTGTGTGTGTGCGTGCGTGTGCGTGCGCGCACGTGTGTGCGCGCATGTGTGTGTGTGTGTGTGAGACAGAGCTGTACGCAGTCTGAGTTTCAGGATTTTGCTCTTCAAATCCATCACAGAGCAAAAACATTTCACCTGTCCTCCTGCCTCTGACCACAAAGTTCCTTTAAAGCATTCATGGGCCGTGGGTGTCCTGGATGTGTCTGTCTACACAAACATGTATGAATGCGCCTCCAGCATGTCTGCTGACCTTTATTTATACATGGCATCAATGCCCCCAGCCTCCATTCCGTCTGTCCTGAGCACGAGGAGAAGCGTGTCCTCCTGGGCTCCCACTCTTCTGAAGCCCTGTTTGTAAGGTGGGCTTCATCGACTCACATGATAGCCCTTCTCCAACCTTAACACGCATACGAATCTCCGGGGGATGCTTGTTACAACACAGATTCTGCTTCAGCAGTCTGGGGTGGGCCTGGGAACCTGCATTCCTAACCAGCCCCAGAGGATGCTGAGGCTCCTGACACGTGGACCTGCGCTGAGTAGCAAGCCTCCATGACACAGATGCATAACACCTTTGACTTCCTTGTGCTTAGAGACACAAACATCAATCAACTGTAATCAAGCGATGTGTATGGAGCAGAGGGCACTCGTACGAAAGAACTGATACAGACTCTTCATATTGTTAGTATCAGAGAGGGCAACAATAGCCGTCCACCTCATCTTACCAAAGGAATGTTCAGAAATTTAATATCAAGCTTACCTTGAGCAGCTATGAATTTATTCTTTTCTTTGTAACCCTAGAGAAATAAAATCAGATGTATAATTTTTCAGGATTATCTTTGCTGAAAGAAAAAGAATTTTGATATTAGAAAACTAATCCATATTCATTATCATTATGGAAAACACAGGAAAAAATAAAAAATTCACCAGTAATTTCAGAAATAACAAGTGCTATTTTAGTCTGCTCTCTGTCTAATCTTTTTTTCCATGGATTCCTTCCCAGACGCATACACACAAGCAGACACACGGACATTTACATATTTTTAATTGGGTTCATACGCACAAACTCTTTCATACCCCATTTTTAATGAGAATTCTCTAATTTCACTAATCTTTTAAAGTTCAATTAAAGTGAATTCTCGGTACTCTATTGCATATGGTTTTACCATAATTTGTTTAGCTGGTTCCCTCTATTCTGTCAGTCATATAAACAACTCTGAGATGAACATCTTTGTGTGTTCTTGAGGATGAATTCCTAGATGCAGATGCTAGTTTGAAAGGCCTGGGCGCTTTCCATATTCTTGGTGCTTGTGGCCAAACTGCCCGGAAAGACTATGACAATTGTCACTCCTGGTCTCAGGGAAGAAAGTGCCACTCTTACAGTTTACAGGCCACACCCAAAGGCCCAGGTGTGTGCTTCATGCTGGACAGACGAACGCAGAACTGGGACTTACATCTATGTACGAAGCATTAACATAGTCGGAACAGGGAATTCCATCCACGTGGCTCAGAATCACCCGGGAATGATCATCTGGGGAGAAAACAGTCCCAGCGTCAGGCTAAGCGAACCACACCTGCCCTGAAGGTCATCTAAAGCACCAAGCCATGTGAGGACTTGGCTGCCTTCTGTAAGTGGTCTCGGGTAGAGAGACATCTAGACTTGGCGTCACGAGGTGGGAGCGGGGGGCATCAGTCTTTATTGACCACTGTATCTCAGCTTCAGGACGGGACCAGACCTCAGACAGGTGCTTCGTAAAGCCGGCTGAACAGACGACAAAGGTAAGCAGCTCACTGTCCAGCAGCGGGGGCCGCTGTCACCACACAGAGAAGCGGAAGGGGCTGGAACTCTTGCAGTCCGAAGGCCATATTCTCTGAACCTCAAATGGGGCTCCAATGCTGGCACAGGTAAGTGTACTTAGGAGGACCTCAGGGAGAAGGGCTGGGGTTAGTCCACTACCCCAGGCTTCCCTGAGAAATGGCTACCACAGCTCTGGGGACAGGTGGGCGTTGGCTTCTGGTGTCAGCGGGCTCCAGGCCCTGCCCCGCACAGTCTGCCTCTAGGGCTGCTGTAGGGACATTTCTCCCAGGTGGGGGGGTTGACCAGGAGGTTCTCTGTGTGTGTGTCAGTGTGTAAATTGTGTGTGTGACTGTGAATTGTGTGAGTGGGTGAGTGTAGGAATTGCGTGAGTGTGTGTATGTGTGGGTGTATGTATGTGTGAGTATGTGTAGTGTGTGTGTGGTGTGTGTATATGAATGAGTATGTTTATGAGTATGACAGAGAGTATCTGTGAGTCTGCATTTGTGTTAGTATGACTGTATGGGTGTGTGTATGAATTGTGTGAATGTGTGTGAGTGTGTATGAGTGTGTGAGTACATACGTGTGTATGAGTGCATTTGTGTGAGTGCAACTATGTGAATGTAGTGTGTGTGTGTGTGTGTGTTTGTGCCAGTGTGTGTGTATGTGAGTGTGCGTTTGTGAGTGTGTGTGAACGCATGCTGGGCAGCTTCCAGCCAGGCCACATTATGACCTTTGTGGGCCCCTTCCCCCATAAAAAAAAATTAAATTTTTATTTTATAATTGTGTTGGTATAAAGAGGAATATAATCCAGGCTGAATTATAATATACTTTCTGCTTTTACAGGAAATTAAAGCCCGTTCATGGTCCCGGCCCTGTGCCTCCTGCACTGACAGAAACAGGCCCGCCTTCCCCAGGTTAGAATATGAGAGGGCCGGGCAGGCGGGCCCTGGCCCCAGACGGAGCACAGGGGCATCACGGGTCATTTCTGCTGACCCAGCACAGAGCCTGGCACACAGTAGGTGCGCAGTACATAATTCAGGAAACTGAATTCATTTTAAATCACTGTGTTCTCGTCTCTGCTTCCCCCAGCATTTAGTCCCCACAGAGGACCGGAAGGAACCGCAGAGGGCTGTGTTTGTGGTGGGAAGCCCTGGCAAAGACCCTGAAACACGCGTAATTGACCTCACGCTCACCAGGTGGCCTCAGCCAGCCATTTTCTGGACGTGGTCTTGCTGGGCCAGACCTGTCCTAGAAAGGCGGGCCAGCAGAGCTCCTGGGACAGCTGCCGCCCGACAGGCCCTTCGGGGGTCACACCCCAGACTCACAGCCTGAGGCGCCTGGCCTGAGAGCCCCCTGCTCAGGGCTGAGAGCACGAGGAGGCAGAAATCGCTCTCGCTGAGCAAGTACAAAGCTGGCTGAAAATAATTAGAAACAATTTGTGCTTTGAAGATGGTTACAGAAAAGCAGAGGACAAAAAATAGCCTTCTCGTCAGATTTAGAATCTTGTCGTCTCTAAAAGCTTCCTGTCCCTTTATTCTCAAAAGTCACACTTCACTTGCAAAACATTATTTCCTAAAATGACCAGCCTTGGCACTTTTCCAGAAAAGAGGAGTTTTTCTTGCCCCCAACAAGGGGTCCATCCACAGCCAGAAGTCCAGTCCCCCTGACACCGCAAGGGTCTGGGGCCCTGTGCTCAGAGCTCCCCAGGCCAGAGGCACAGGGGTGCTCTGCAGCTCCAAGGCATCCTGGGGCTCTCTGCTCTCAGCCTGGGGAGTGCCCGGGGCTGTGGGAGGTGGGGCCCTCTCCCTCCCTGCATGAAAGCAGGGGCTCTCACCCCTGGGATGGGGAAGCACCTTGGACCCTGGGAGCAGGCCCGAGTACCCCCTGCACAAAGTCCCCCCAATCCAGTCCCCCTCTGCTGGGTGACAGTTGGCATCCAGGAGCCTCTCTGGCCACTACTCAATTTAATCCAAGCCACCCCTCACTTCACCTTGCTTCTTTCTGACGCCAGGCGCCAGGTACACCCCACTCAGCAGCTCTGCGGGAGAAAGACCTGGCAATCTGCTCCCATAAGGATTATACCAAAACCAAACCTATCGCCACCGAGTCGATGTGGACTCACAGCGACCCTGCAGGACAGAGTAGAACTGCCCCATAGGGTTTCCAAGGCTGTCATCTTTACCGAAGCAGACTGTCGGTCAAACCGCCGACCTTTTGGTTAGCAGCTGAGTGCTTAACCGCTGCACCACCAGGGTGCCTTCCGTAAAGATCACAGCCTAGAAAACCCTATGGGGCAGTTCTTTTCTGTCACATGGGGTCGCTATGAGTCGGAATGGAGTTGAGGGCACACAACAACAGGGCGGCCTATTACATTTCATCTGGGAGGGAGGTGCACGGTTCCGTCACCAGGCTGTTGATTCTGCTCGCACTGAGGGCCCACTAAAACCAAAAGCCCGTTGCCATCAAGTCGATTCCGACTCACAGCGACCCTGCAGGACAGAGTAGAACTGCCCCATAGGGTTTCCAAGGAACACCTGGTGGATTCGAACTGCCAACATTTTTGGTTAGCAGCAGAACTCTTAACCACCGCGCCACCAGGGCTCCAAGTTCCCACAGAGAGAGTAAACACTCTGAATTAACAGTCTAAATGCTCCTTTTGAGTGATAGAGGGCTCAGTGAGTCAGAGAGAAAACGCAAGTAAAGACTCTAGCAAATGCTTGGAGCTGAGTAGGTCCTCAGCACGTACTGGTATGCAAATCAATGAATAAATCAAGCGAATTAATGAAACAAAGTAATTAATCAAACTAATCAATTAAACTACTAACTGACGCTAATTTCCTAACGTCTCTATTTTTATTGAACACAAATGATTTCCATGCTCGCCAGCCTCCTCTCATGGTCTTTGCATTTTTTTAGTTGTTCAAGCCGCGCAACTTGCCGCATCTCTGAGCTCCTGCATCCAATCTAGCAGCACATCCTGGGGACTGCCTCTCCGATGTGCGTCCAGAATCTAACCACTGCTCCACACAGTGGCCCCGACTGATCTCCCCGAGCCAGTCTCGTCCCCAGACAAGTGAAAGACCACTAGACTCATTTCTCCAGTTTTAACGGGATCACAGGCTCATGGTGGGTTTTGTAAAAGCCACATATAAATCTGATGCCTGGAGAACGAGGGAGAATTGTTTCTATGAACTGCTGAGAGCTCGGAGACCATGCACGCTGACGGACATCAGCCCTTTTAAACACGGGCAGACAGGCTCAGTTCTAATCCTAAAGCCTGTTTCCCTGGGAGCTGCTTCCATCCCACCAGGAGCGGCCTGAGAGGGGGAACTCCCTGGAGAGAAAGAGGGACCTCGGGGTCAGGAGTCAGACCTGAGCCTGGAGGAGCCCTGTGGGCTGCATCCTGTTAGCCCCCCAGTGGGGCCCAGGCTGGGCAGTGATGTCCCAAGCCTGCTGGCTGCCCTCAGGGCTTGTTTTGGTGCTGAGGCTGGTGTGAAGGGCAGCCCCGGACAGAGTCCATCCCCCTGCAGCAGGTCACCCAGGTGGCCCTGGTACAGATCCGCCCCACAGTTCCTGCTGTCTGTCCCCTCTGCACCCCATCTCCCAGGTATCCACACTCCCCTAGCCTGGGGCCACCTTTGCTGTTGTGGTCCCCATCAGGGAGATTCTAAGCCCTCCACAAAGCTGCTGAACCCCCTACAGCTCTGTGTTCTATCACTTCTACACTGGTCCAGGAACCCTGGTGGTGCAGTGGTTAAGAGCTTGGCTGTTAACCGAAAGGTCGGCAGTTCGAATCCACCAGCTGCTCCTTGGAAATCCTATGGGACAGTTCTACCCCGTCCTACAGGGTCGCTATGAGTAGGAATCGGCTTGGTGGCAATGGGTTTGGTTTTGGTCTTTCTATGCTGGTCTGGGGTTCCAGAGGCTCTGAGGCTTCCCTGTTTGTGGCTGAGAGCACTGAGCCCGAGCCCGCGGGAGGGGCACTGCCAGGCTGACTCCACAAGACGGGCTCTGCTGCTGGTACAGGCGGCACCCTCGCCCCCCCGCCCGCCTGGCCACCAGGCCGTCCAGGCCTCAACAGCAAGTGCAGGCTGAGCCGCCAGGAGCGATGCAGGCCGCCCAGGCCCGGGGCAGGGAGACCGTCCTGCAGAGCCAGGTGCCAACACTGAGCCGCGATGCCGATGCAGAGGTCCGGCCCCTGAGCTCCGGGACCCCCACACTCACTCGGCACACACGCTCACAGGAAGCTGCAAGGCAAGGCCCGGTTGGTCCCAACTCCCTGGTCACGCAAAAAAGTGAAAATCTTACTGGGAAGGATGTTGGGGTATCTGTTTTTTTCTCTGTTTTCTTCTTTATTTGCCTGTTCGAAAGTTCCGTGCACGTGTCCCGATGGTAACAACTGGAAGACAATGAAGAGTCAGCACGAAACCTGACGACCCCAGACTGTGCTTCTGTCAGCTTTCCTACCGGGCGGACCGAGAAAGCACGTCTCTGGACAAACTGCCTCTGTCTGTCTGCCCGTCCCTGCCTTGGACCCTGCTCCAGGCCCAGGGCCCAGGAATGAAAGGAGACGCCGGCCCTGTGTCCCTCCGTGCTCTTCGTCATGGGGCCGACAGATGTGTGGACAAAGTGACCGTCTCCGTGAGCTGGGCCCTTAGCTGCACAAAGCAGGGACCTGCCCTGCCCTCCCCACCATACCCCCAGGCCCCCACGTCCTGGCCCCGAGCAGGTATACCTCGAGATGGATGGACAGACCAAAAGAGAGCTCTGGACAGAGATGCGGGAGCAAGAAGCTGGGAAGGGAGGTGTTAGAAGGGGGTGCTGTGACTTCTGTGCTGGTCTGCAGGATGAGAGAACGATCCGGGCAGGGTGGAAGGGACCTTAGATTCGATCCTAATCCTGCTTAGGACTCAAGGCGTGCTCCGTGGACCAGTGGCTCCCCAAATCATGACCTTGAACATGAACCTGACCATGGGCCGGGCCTGGGGGCCACTGGGCGTCAAGGAGTAAGCAGTCATTTTTACGGATATGCCAGGCTCTGTGCGGTGAGCAGGCCAGCTGCTCCGGCCATCACCACACGCCTACTAGGTGACCCTAGGATCACCCCATTTTCTAGGGGAGGAAACGGGAACCCAAAGGCGTGGCAGACTCGTCCCGGGTCACCTTTGCAAGCACGGGAAAAGCTAGGCTTCCGTGAGTCCTGCTGTGGCCCACGAGCCCAGGTCAGGGTTCACAGCACAGCCTCGTCACAAAGCTGCCCTGTGCCTGGCTTTGCCCACCCTGTGGGCCCCGCCCACCTGACCTGCCACCACAGCATGCCCAGACCTGCCCTCCCAGGGCCCAGACTTCTCCACCACAGACTCAGCCCTGCCAGCCCGGTGCTCACCGTGGGTTGCAGCCCAGCCCCTTCCCATCAAACAGGAGCGCACAGGCAAGCTCTGCCAGGTGGGGCTGAGGGAGCAGCCCGGCCGGAGCCTCACGAGGCTGATGTGGTCCTGGCTCCACGCCCACCTCCAGCACCAGCTCCACCTGAGTCCTGCACTCTGCCTCAGCGCTGCTGTAACACGGACCTTCTTGACCTAACCTAAGGAGTCCCTGGATGGCAAAAGCTTGGCTGCTAACCAAAAGGTTGGTGGCTCGAACTCATCCAGAGGTACCTCCAAAGAAAGGCCTGGTGATCTGCTTCCAAAAGGTCACAGCCCTTGAAAACCCTGTGAAGCAGTTCTACTCGGCACACGCAGGGTCGCCATAAGTCAGAATCGATTCAAAGATATCTGGTTTGGTTTTGACCCAACATAAACGTTACATTTGTGGTAAAATTCTAGAGCCTTCTCTTTTTTGAACCCAGCAATGAACATAAAAATGAGGAGTTCCCTCTTCCTGGGAGATGAGGCCGTGGTGGTGTGGTGGGTGGAGGAGGGGCCGCCGGGTCTGAGTCCCTGATATGGACCTGACTCTAACACCCGGGCTGCCGGGACCCCTGAAGCTGCCCGGGACCCCCGCTCCACGGGTGGCACAGAGGGTCAAATGAGGTCAGGAATGACCACAGCCTGTTCTGGGCCTGGCGCTTTCTTGCCTGCCTATCTGCCCTGCCCAGGGACTCCAAACCTCTGAGGGGCTCAGGAGACACCGGGGAAATGAGGGGCGCCTGGGAGGGGCCGGCTGTGACTCGGCCACCCCTGCGGGGCCTCGCTCGAGCCTCGCCTGGAGGAGCTGGGGGACAGACAGCTCGAGGTTGACTGCCCGATTATGTAAATGGGCTGAGGAGGGTTTGTTCGATGGTTTGAGGTGAGATTCATTTCAATGGGTGTATGCCCCCTTCCACAGTGCTGGGAGGCAGCAAAACGGACTCATGAGGGGAGAGCTGTGGGCGGTTAAGCAGAAAGTCCCCGCTGTTTGCAGCAAGCTGTGAGGGCCTGCTCGGTTGTTTACTGCCCCGCTCCCCTCCTGCTGAACACCCCCTGGGCATTTCTAGACACCTACGATTGGGTCAAAGGAGCCTTGGTGGCGCGGTGGTTAAACTGCTTAGCTTTGAACCTAAAGGTCAGTGCTTCAAACCCACCAGCCACTGCTTGGGAGAAAGACCTGGTGATCTGCTGCCTTAAAGATTACAGTCTGGGAAACCCTACGGGGCAGTCCGACTCTGTAACACGGGGTTGCTGTGAGTTGGAATCGACTCGACAGCAGCGGGTTTGGGTCAGGCCCAGCAGGGGCTTGAAATAAACCTTTCTGGGAAGGCCCTCACTCACCAGCCAGGATTTAGCCTGGGCCTAGATCCAGTTCTCCTGTGTCGGGTGGAGACGACAGAGGGCCGACATCAGCGTCCCGATAACGCCGGCAGCCCCAGAGGGCACTGTGTGCAGACACTGGGCTCCCTCACGCACCTCCCTCATTTACACAACCAGACAGCCCCATGGGGAAACTGAGGCAAGCAGAGGCCCTCAGTGCTGGGCAGGGGCAGGCCTCGGAGATGCACTCAGGTAGGTGACTCAGGCACTCATGCCACAGCCATCCACCACACAGTCCCCAGCACCATCCCCTTTCCATTCACACCGGTTCTCCTCAGCTGCGGATGGGCGACACTCAGCTCCCCAATCTCATTTGTTGACCGCTTTGAGGCTCAGCTGCCCCGCTTTCAGGGTCCTGGGGCAGGTGCTCAGGGTCGTCACCAGGTGAGGATAGAGAAAGAAGGGGTGTGAGAACCACACCCAAGGATGTCCACTGAGGAGCCAGGGTGGGCTGGTCCTGGCAGTCTCCACTAGTGGGGTGCTGGGAGAGGCCTCACTTTATAGAGGAGAAAACTGGGTGCAGAGTGACAAGCAGCTACCCAAGTTCCCCCAGAGCCAGGGGCAGGCTCCTCACTCTTGACTCCAAGTTCACTGCTGTCACCCCTATCCATACCCCCACCCTGTCAGTGGGCAGGGAGGCCTTGGGTGGTCACCTGAGAAGGCAGCTCAATGGCAGGGCTGGGACAGGACAGGACAGGAGGTGGGGGGGCCAGTGAGGCTCTCACCTGGGGTGCAAAACGTATGCTAACCTTTTAAAGCTATATATATATCTGTGTTGTTGTCGTGTGCCTTTGGGTCAATTCTGACTTACAACAACCCTGTAGGACGGAGTAAAACTGCCCATAGGGTTTCCAAGGAGTGGCTGGCGGATTCTTTTTTACAGTTTCTGCACGTACAACTCACCGACACTGACTATATTCTGCAAGTTGTGCAACCCTTCTCATCCCCTTTTCGGAGCAGTTCCTCCCCCATTAACATAAACTCACCGCCTCCTAAGCTTCCTATCTAACTTTTCCAGTTGTCAGTTTGATCCCACATAGATAGTTCTTTAAAAAAAGCACACTGCTCGAGGCAGACATTCTTTGCTCGTTAAGTAAAGCCATATCAAAACTAATGCAAAACAAAATCCATGGTGACCAAAGTACAAACTTGTAAACAGGGACAGGACGGGGAACAGTGTCGTGACAAGCTGTATTGGAGACCGAGGTGGCAGGAAAGACCAGGAACACCGAGCCGGTCTTGTTTACAGCTTTGCTATTTTGTTGGTTGTGGATTGTTCGCATTAATTTCTTCTTTTAAATAACTCCCCATTCACCTTCCTCCAGCCCTGGTAACCTCCAGGGTAATTTTGCCTCCATGCACGTAAGTCAGGACATACAATACTTGTCCTTTGTGTCTAACTTTCACTCAGCACAGTGTTTTCAAGGCTTCCCTATGTGGTAACACGTAGTAGGACTTCATTTCTCCTTAGGGCTGAATAATATTGAATTGTATACGTATACCACATTTTGTCTACCCATTCATCTGTTGATGGAGGCCAGGTTGTCTCTACCTTTTAGCTATTGTGAATAATGTTGCAATGAACACCGGTGACAAGAATCTGTTTGAGTCCCTGCTTTCAAGGCTTTTGAGTATACGTATCTAGGAGTGGGATTGCTGGGTCATATGGTATGTCTATGTTTAACTTTGTGAGGAATTCATTCATTTGGGTATTTTTAAATGTTACAATAAAAGTGATTTATCCTGACGACTGAGTGTTTGGGTGCTCCTTAAGCTTTGCGCCTCCAATGAGGGCCTCACCTGTCTGACCCTGGCCGACCCCACCTGCAGGGTTTTCCTCACCTCTTGAGATGTTGCAAAGCCAGCACATCTGACTCAGAGCCCTGCACCAGCAAGCCCAGCCTCCACACGGAGAAGCAAAGAACAAGGGGAAACGGGGCCAGGAGGGAAGGGAGCTTACAGCACGCTGGGACAGTCATTGCGAAAAGGGGGACTTCAGACTTCTCTAGCCAGGCCCACAGGTTGCAAAACAGGACCGCGTGGAGCTGTCTCTCAGTAAGACTTAATTTTTCAACAAAAAGGGAAACCGTTTAGAAACAACAAGGAAGCCATATAAAGGCAGGTCGAGGCTTGTGCTAAAAATAACCAAAACGCAGTTTAAATGCGCTGTCATCTTTCTGCGCCTAAAGGTGCTTCTCTGTGAAAAGTCACGTGTCTGCAGCCAGACCCTCACCATCTTTAAAACCCATTGCCATCGAGCCGATTCCAACTCATAGCAACTGTATAGGACAGAGTAGAACTGCCCCATAGGGTTTCCAAGGCTGAAATCTTTACCGAAGCAGACTGCCACATCTTTCTCCCGAGAAGCAGCTGGTGGGTTCGAACCGCCGACCTTTTGGTTAGCAGCCAAGCGCTTTAACCACTGTGCCACCGGGGCTCCTTTCGCAGTCTTTAGGTGTGACAGTCGCACCGGCGTTGCTGTTCACGAGTCTAAGACAGGCAACAACCCCATCCTCACTTCACAGATGATGACATGGGTGGGGTTCAGAGGGGTGAACTGAGGTGCCCAGGCTTGGGGCAAGAGGCAGAGCCCGGCGAAGGCCAGTTCTCCCGCTGGAAACCCCACCTCCTTCAAACTCCACACTTGGCAAGGGGCCGTGGGCAAAAAGACGGAGATGCGGGAAACAAAACTCCAACACCATCCCATGAAAGGATAAACACATGAGGTCCATCCATACATAAGGGAACGTTACCCAGCCATAAAGAGAAACGAAGTTCTGATACACACTGCAACGTGGATGAACCTTGAACATGTTATGTCGAATGAATTAAGTCAGATACAAAAGAACAAATACTGTATGATCCCACTTACGTGAAATATGCAGAAGCTTGTTTCTGGTTTACGAGGGGAACGGGGAAGTTAGTGCTTAGGGAGCATCGAGTTTGTTGGTGGTGGGATGATTCTGAAACTGATAGTGATGATGGCTCCACGCCATGGAGAATGTAACCAAGGTCGCTGAATGTGTACACGTAAAAACAAAATACTATCCGCCACGAGGCCTGGACAGCAGACAGGAGAAAACTGTCTCTCCGTGGATATGTATGTACGTAAAGTTTTATCTGATATCCTGTGAATTGTGAATCTATTATATGTATAAAACACATTGCCGTTGAGTCCATGCTGATCATAGTGACCCTACAGGACAGAGTAGAACTGCCTCATAGGGTTTCCAAGGAGCAGCTGGTGGATTCAAACTGTCAACCTTTTGGTTAGTTACCAGCCTGAGATCTTAACCACTTCGCCACCAGGGCTCCGTTATACGTATATATGTACTTATAATGCATATAATAGATTCATATACACATATACACAATTCATAGGATATTAAATAAAAATTGACATCCACAAGGGGAGGTGTCATTAGCGTGCATCTATACTTTTTGGTAACATTTTGGCCACATTTTGGCGAGAGTGAAAAGACCAGGTTTCTAGTTGGGGGAGCACACCGGGAGGTTAGATCTGTCCTATCAGCTGCTCCATCGCTGTTGATGGCAGAGCCACAATGGAGTAGCAGGGTGAAAGCTAGTGGAGCCTCGTGCTCACGCTCACACGCTGAGTGGACATCAGCTGCCCTCCGCCCAGTGCTGTGTGTCCCCTCCAGGCCACTCCCACAACTGTTCTATTGATGGTGGGATGGAGGTGCAGAGGAGAGATGACCCCCCACTCCAGGTAGGTCCCCAGGAACCCATCAGAGGAAGTTTGGGAGCTCCATTTCTCTCAGCCTGAGGTGTCCACACTGCACTTTGCCCAGTCCTTTGTCTCTTCTCCGCACTGTCTAGAGAACGGGTTCCATCACCTCGATTTCAGAGCACAGCCTCACAGTGTGCGAGCTGCCGCTAACTCAACTGTCCACTAGAAACTAGATCAACCGTCTCGTTTTACACAGGAGGACCGAGCGTTCAGGAAGGGGCACCCGGCAGAAACCAGGCCTCCTTGGACTCCCTTTTGGGGACGGTGAGGCAACTGAGGCAGGGTCTGAGTCTCTGGGGTGATCTATCCTGAACTAGGATGTCGTATTTCACTGGTCCCCCCACCGACAATACCACAGGGGCCTCCCACACTCACGTTGAACTCTTCACGGAAGCGCTTGCAGTCATCCGCCGAGCGCATTCGGATCTCCTCCTCCAGCTGCGCCACGGGGATGGGGAAGTACTTCTTGGGCCCCGAGGGTGACCTGCTCAGCAGCATCACTCTCTGCTGCTCTGTGGGACAGAGAGACATGGCAGCCGCTTAGCCACTTTGCCGGATGGGTGACTCATTAACCAGGACGACATCCCAGAAGAAACGACACAGTTAGAGGGAGGGACACTTGGCTAAAATCACATACCCAAGAGCTAAGCAGCTGTGAACAGCTGAGTCCACATCTCCAAGTCTAGTGATGTGCCACATCACAGGTGTCCCTCTGTCCTGTGCTACCTGCTGTCACCAACCCCAGACTCCTTACCTGCCCAGCTCACCCATCCACCACCCCTCTCTCCTTCCCTCCACCCCTGCCCCTTCCACAGATGAGTTAAAGCAGTGTCAAGCGCCAGCACAGGTTTCCAGTTTTGGAAATAGAAAACCAAAAACCAAACCCACTGCTGTCGAGTGGATTCCTACTCAGAGTGGCCACCCTATAGGATTCGAACTGCCGACCTTTTGGTTAGCAGCCAAGCTCTTAACCGCTGCATCACCTTGGAAACAGAGAAGAGCTAATTATAGGTGGGTTCTCTGGGTGGCACTTGACTGCTAGCTGAAAGGTTGGTGGTTCAAATCCACCCAGAGATGCCTTGGAAGACAGTCCTGGCAATCTGCTTCCAAAAGGTCATGGTCACAGCCTGAAAATCCTGTATAGCCCATTTCTACTCTGCACACATGCGGTCGCCACGAGTCAGAATCAACTTGATGGAAACTAATGACAACAACAGTTATAGGTGGGAGTCCCTGGTTAACATGCTCTGCTGCTAGCTGAAAGGTTGGAGGTTCGAGTCTACCTAGAAGTGCCTTGGAAGAAAGGCCTGGCAATCTATGTCCAAATAATCAAATAACCAGCCATTGAAAACCTATGGAGGGGGCATAGTTGTGGAAACTTCTTAAATAAAACCAAACACCTCACGGACTGAGCTACTGAGCTTGAAGGCTAAGGACCATCGTCTTGGGGGACATATAGGTCAATTGGCATAACGTACTTCATAAAGATAATGTTTTACATCCTAGTTTTGTGAGTATTGTCTGGGATCTTAAAAGCTTGTGAGTGACCATCTAACATACAACTATTGGTCTCTTCCCATCTGGAGAAAAGTAGAATGAAGAAAATCGAAGACGCAAGGAAGCAATTAGTTCAAAGGACTAATGGTCCACGTGAACGACAACCTCCTCTAACCTGAGACCAGAAGAGCTAGATGGTGCCCAGCTACAACGGTACAGAAAGGAACACAATGGAAAATTCCGGTTAGAGTGGGTGAAACATGTACAACAAGATTTAAATTCATGAAAAAGACCAGACTTACTGGTCTGATAGAAACTGGAGGAACCCCTGAGACTATCGCCCTGAGACACCCTTCTAACTTGGAACTGAAGCCACTCCTGAAGGCCACCTTTCAGCCAAGTAATAGACTGGCCTATGAAATAAACAGTAACACCCGTGAGGAATGTGTTGCTTAGAACAATCTACTATACGAGACCAAAAGGGTAACATTTGCCCCAAAGCAAAGACGAGAAGGCAGGAAGGGGCAGGGAAACCTGACGAGTGGAAACGGGGAACCCAGGGTGGAAACGGGGAGAGTGCTGACACATTGCAGGGACGGCAACCAACATCACGGAACAACTTGTGTATGAATTATTGAGTGGAAAACTAATTGGCTGCATAAACTTTCACCTAAAGTACAATCAAATGTTTTTTAAAGAAGATTATTATTCAACAACAATTGTAAATAAATTTTTTAAAAAATCTGTTTTACTTCTTGGTGAGAAAGCAAAGTTGCAGCAGTGTTTCCTCCAGAACCTTCTCCACAATCGGGTCCAGATGAGCTTTAGATTATTTAGACAATAAAAAAAACAGAAACGAAAAGGAAACCTATGGAGCAGTCCTACTCTGGCACACACGGGGTCACCATGAGTCAGAATCCATTCCACGGTAACTGGTTTAATTACAGGTTTCTCGGTGAAAGCGCAAAGCCGACTAAGGATCAGTTAGGATTCGAGTCCCCCTCAGGTCACTCAGATCCACTGGAAAAAAAAACAAACCAACCAACCATCGAGTTGATTACGACTCATAGCGACCCTATAGGACAGAGTAGAACTGCCCAATAGGGTTTCCACGGAGCACCTGGTGGATTTGAACCACCAACCTTTTTGGTTAGCAGCCGTAGCTGTTAACCACTATGCCACCAGGGTTTCTAAACTGGGCTCCCAGGAAATGAAGGGACGTCTTCCTTGTTCCGGGGTCGGTGGGGGTGTTGAAAAGGAAAAGGGCGGGGCTCTGAGGGTCTTCCTGGACAAACTGCTTCCGCAATGTCAGGCTGCGAGACTAGAAGCAAAGACCCAGCGTGCGTCTTCTTCCTGGGCAGGGAGCTGATGTCCTTGACACGGTCAACATGCCCACTCTGCGGTCGCACCTGCAGACAGGCCTGCTCCCACCTGCTGGGTCTCTCTGGGGCTCAGCCAAGGATTTCCCCCACGCCTCACGCCTCCCAGAGACAGACCGGGGATCAGATGAGCGGGGCTGGGGTCTCTGCTATTCCCCAGCCACACCTGCTTCCCTCTGCGCACAGGGCAGGGAGGCAGCTGGCGACAGGGTAGGGCACGGAGGTGGCACTGGAGGGGCCCTGTCACGGAAAGGGGTCACGGTCCCCCATGCACTGCAAAGCCCGTTCAGCGTCTGTCCGTGCTGTCCCACGTCTGGGCCATGTCCTTTGTTGCTGATGTGCTGCTCTGTATCTTGGGGTCAGTTTTGAAATTGTATTTGTTCCCGTCGCATTGTTCAGGAGGAGTCTGATTTCAGGAAGTCGCAGTCAACGAGGTAAACCTGTATTTTTAAGTGTCTGCCTTACGTGCCTTCCTCAGCCAACTCAATGCGTGAGAACAAAAAATGGGCCTCCGCGAGCAGCATTTACAAGGCAGTAGCTGAACTTAGATACTAAAAGAAAAAGTGGAAATGCCCCCACCGACTCTAACCAGTAGCCGTGGAGTCGATTCCGTCTCAGGCTGACCCCAGGTGTGTCTGAGTAGAACTGGGCTCCATAGGGCTTTCAATGGCTGGTTTTTTGGAAGCAGGTCTCCAGGCCTTTCTTGCAAGGTACCTATGGGTGGACTCGAACCTCCGACCTTTTGGTCAGTGGCCGAGTGCTTACCCATTTGCGCCACCCCGGCCCTCCCAGTGACACTAATGGTAAAGTCTTTAACAGAGCCAGCGTTCTTCTTTCACCGTAACCTTGATTTTAGCGGAGCACTTCAGATTACAATCTGGACGGTCTTATTTTAGGACGAGTTTGAAGAACTCACTGCAAAAATGCTGTATGTCACAACCCTCTGAAAATAACAGGATATGAACAGTCTCTCTAGAGAAGGACCAAACAAAAATGCCTCTGACTTGTTTCACACAGTAGAGAAAACCACCCTTGAGGTGACATTCTAAAAGAGTGAAGGTCTTTGGTTATCAACAGATGACAGCACAATACCAGGCAAAATGAGATGAAAGTCGAAAAGCCGAGAAACGTGAACTTCACTTTAAAAGGACAAGCAGCAACAGGAAGCGCGCCCTGCCCGAGGAGGAAGGGTGCATCCGGCTGCACCAAGCCCGCGCCCAGCCCGAGTGACCGCACCTTGCTCCTCTAGGATGCCGTTGGGTATCTTCTTGTCGTTGGCGCTGACCACCGCCTTCCGCTGCTTCCGGAACCTTGGAGGCACAAGACTGGTTAGAGGCAGCAAGTCTAGGTTCTCAGGAAACTGGAGCCCGGGCGCAGGTACCCACCAGGTGAGCCTGGAGAAGCTCCTCCTGCTGCTCATGGCCGAGCGGGGGCTCCACGGCCTGGCCACGCTGCTCCTCCTCGCCGCCTGCCCGCCCGCCCTCCTGCCCCCACCACCAAGTGGCTCACTTCCTCTCAGCCCGTCTGAGCAAGTGCTGGGACACTCCTACCTGAAGAAGTAGGCGGTGGCCAGGAGGAGGAGCCCCAGGACGAGCAGCAGAGGCAGCAGCAGCCAGGCAAGCTGTGGCCGGGTAGCACCAGGGTCTGGACGGCCTGCGGGGCAGAACGGGGAACCGAGAGGGGGAGCATGACTCCGGTGGGGCCTGGACAAAGGAGGAGTCCCGACACCAGACTGCACTTCCCAGTCTGCAGAGTGGACCCCGTTAGCCTTTCTTTCTGGCACCCGAACCACACTTTACAGTTTGAAGTCCCCCCATTACCCTTCCTCCCGACACCAGGACCCCACTGCACCGTTTCTAAGCATTTCCACACTCACGGTCCATGGTGTCCACAGAAGCCCTGGGACGTAACAAGGGGGCAGCTTTTGTGGTGGCCGAGGACCAAGAAGGGGACTGAGGCCGAGGGCTGGGATGAGCTCCCAGACCCCGCCATGGCCAGGGGCCTGTCTCCCCAGTACCCCCAGTACCCCCAGTCCCTGCCACACCTGCCTGTCCATCTAACGGGGAGGCAGAGGAGAGGACGTGTGGGACTCCCTGAGGCTCTGTCCCAGGGCGGCGCAGGGAGCAGGCCTGACCTTGCCACGGTCCACCCCTTCTAGTTCCCCGCACCTGCAGAGTGCCCAGTGCCCCTGGGGTGTCCACCACCCTGCCAGCCTGCCGTGTCTTCTAAAGGTCATGGCCAGTGTGCCCCCTCGCGGCCCCCTAGGCTGTCACCTCCAGGGGTGGGGCTGGCTCCTCCCTGGAGCGTCCCTGTACCCCCGGCCTCACGCCGGCTCTGGCGCCGTCTGTACTCAGGGCATGTGTAGTCCTAGCAAATGCTGACAAGGGTGTTGATCACGTGACACTAGATGTACAATGCACTGAGGACGCGTCCGTCCGTGATGAGGGTGCCCCTGCCACAGGTGTGGGCACCCTAACCCTTCCAGTGCGCCCCTCTACATTTCCGCCCACCCTCGCTCCAGGCAGCGCCACGCCTCCTCCATGTGGCTAGTGTGCTGAGGGCCAGGCGCCTGGTGTCCCTGCAGCGTCCCCTGGCCGGGTGATGGTGGTCCCAGCCCAGAGTGGTTTGTTCTGGGCCCTGGGCAAACCCAGGTCAGGGTCAGGCTGAGTGGCTGAGGGCGGCTGCCCACCCCTTCTACTCCACTGCCCGGGCTCTGCGGCTGTCCAGCCACTGCACAGCTGCCCGCAGGAGCAGACTGTCAGAGGCACCCCTACCTGCAATGCCACGGAGCAGCCCTTCCCTGCCTGCCAGGGCACTGACATCTCAGGCACAGCTGACTCCAGAGCAGAGCTGACCCCTGGGCAGAGTGGACAGTCGGTCAGAGCGGACACCCGGCAGAGCTGACACCCGGGCAGAGCTGACACTCGGCAGAGTTGACACCCGGGCAGAGCTGATACCTGGCAGGGCTGACCCCGGGCAGAGTGGACAGTTGGTCAGAGCAGACACCCAGCAGTGCTGACACCTGGGCAGAGCTGACTCCCAGCAGAGCTGACCCCGGGCAGAGTGGACAGTTGGTCAGAGCAGACACCCAGCAGTGCTGACACCTGGGCAGAGCTGACTCCCAGCAGAGCTGACCCCGGGCAGAGTGGACAGTTGGTCAGAGCGGACACCCAGCAGTGCTGACACCTGGGCAGAGCTGACTCGCAGCAGAGCTGACCCCGGGCAGAGTGGACAGTCGGTCAGAGCGGACACCTGGCAGAACTGACACCCGGGCAGAGCTGACAGCCGGGCAGAGCTGACACCCTGCAGAGCTGACCCCGGGCAGAGTGGACAGTTGGTCAGAGTGGACAACCGGCAGAGCTGACCCCGGGCAGAGCTGACACCCGGCAGAGCTGACCCTGGGCAGAGTGGACAGTTGGTCAGAGCGGACATCTGGCAGAGCTGACACCCGGGCAGAGCTGACACACCCAGCAGAGATGACACACCCGGGTAGAGCTGACACAGCCGGGTAGAGATGACACACCCGGCAGAGCTGACACACTCGGCAGAGCTGACACAGCCGGCAGAGCTGACACCTGGGCAGAGCTGATCCCCAGGTAGAGCTGACACCTGGACAGAGCTGATTCCCGGACAGAGCTGACACCCGGGCAGAGATGACACACCCAGCAGAGCTGACACTCTGGGCAGCGTTGACCCCCGGCAGAGCAGAGCACGGCCCACCCCAGACTGGTGCTTCCCCTCCCCACATGGTCCCTCTGTGCTACCAAGGTTGCCTTCCTGGAGAAGGAGGGATAGCTGCCCTGTCTCCTGTGGGAAACCCCCACTTCTGCCTTTGCACAAAGGTTGGCTGCTGGGTCAGCTTCTGCTGTGCCAGTGACTGAACCCCTGCTCGTGGGGTTCTGAGGGCTTGGGCGACCTCCCTGAGGTGTGGGCAGGCCTCGGAGGGTCGCAGGGTTGCCTCAGTCAGGAAGGGGAGCACTGGACTACAGACCCTAAGCCTGTGTGCAGGCAGTGGGTAGGGGCCATGTCAGGAGGCTGCACGGCCCAGCCTCCACATTGTCCTGCCTGGAGGACAAGGCTCCAGGCACAAAAGGTTCCATTGAGCATCTGTCCTAGAGGATGATGGTGCTGAGTGATGGAAGCCCAGAGGGGGCGTGGTATACATGAGCAGAGTGTCCCGATCACAGGGGAGTCATTGTTCAAATAATATTCATACTTCCCTTAGAGAACAGGTGAGGGTTCAAAGAGCACTCCACACAGAGGGTCTCCTCCAGATAATACACCTGATAATCCAAGGCTTCAAAGTAGAAATAGCACCTATTCACTCTCTGCTGTGGGAATGCCGGGTTACTGAGCATGTCAGGGCAGAAGCTGTACACAGGGGGTGAGAAGTGTATACAGGGGGTGAGAACTGTACACGGGGAGTGAGAAGTATACACAGGGTGAGAATTGTACACAGGGTGTGAGAAGTGTACATGGGGTGTGAGAACTGTACATGGGGAGTGAGAAGTGTACACAGGGTGAGAAGTGTACACGGGGTGTGAGAAGTGTACACGGGGTGTGAGAACTGTACACGGGGTGTGAGAAGTGTACACAGGGGGTGAGAAGTGTATACGGGGGGTGAGAAGTGTATACGGGGGGTGAGAACTGTACACGGGGAGTGAGAAGTGTACAGAGGGTGAGAAGTGTACACAGGGTGTGAGAAGTGTACACGGGGTGTGAGAACTGTACACGG